TTTCCAGAGAAATAAAATACATTACTCTCAGAACATTCCTCGTACATCATAGTTCTGTCTACTCAGATGCATAGCAAATGCTTTTGAACACAAAATGTAGACATTTTACATTGGATTTTTTAAAAGTAGACATTTAAATAGATGTAACATATAATCATGTTTATAAATATAAATAACAATAGGAAAACTAGTAGTTGCCAATGCGTTTTGTCCAATGTGGACTTTCTCAAGGCAAAAAACGAAATTAATTTATTAAAAAAAAGTAACTAATAATAACAAAAACAAAATGTCCTTAGCAACTGGATTTGAGAAACCTACTTTTTTGAAAAATTGTTCTAAGAAATATTTTATAAATTTCAACCAAAAGCAGTACTGGCTGCTTGGTCAATGAATGCCAAATGTTTTCTTGTAGAGAAACTGGTAATATTACTATTACAGTAACATTAGCAATTTTGTTTTTGTTATTATTACTTTGTTTAAATAAATTCATTTTGTTTTTTGCCTTGAGAAAGTCCACATTGAATGAAATGTGTCGGCAATTATTAGTTTTCCTATTGTCTTTTATATTTATAAATATTGTCTTTTCTACAGGTTAACTCTGAGAAATTTTCATATAATTATGTACATACAGGCAATGTTTAACCCCCATGCATGCAAATATATGATGTATCAAAAGGGCAGTTATTCCCTTGACACTGCTATTTCTACATACACTATTGACCCCCTCAGCAATGTATATTGTTTTAAAAAGCAATGATTAGAATTTTAATAAATTCCAAACATGAAAGTGGATCTATATGTTTTCTTTATTCATGAGATTTGACAAGAATATTAAACACTATTTATTAGATTGCTTATTTACAAGAATATAAAAAATGTGAACCAACTATAATGAAATATTTATTATTTACCATTTTATAAAGAAATAAATCTTAAGATAAATTTTTTACTGATAAATTTATAAAAATGTGCATAAGAAAATTTAAATAAACACATAACTATAATTATAAATTTTGAAAAAAATGCCTTTTTTGAGCATTTCTTTCTTTTGATCTTGTCACATAAATTCACTAAAATAGTTTCTGAGCATCTCTTTCTCTGTACCAAATATTTTTTTAATTTTAAATTTTAGACATGGCCACAAACATTCAGTATTTTGAGTATGTATCTCCCTATTCATTGGATGGACAAAGGTTTTCCTTGAATATAAAATAGGTTGATAGCATCTCTTCCTCTGAACCAAATATTTTTTTAATTTTAGATTTTAGGCAAGACCACAAACACTCAATTGAGTATGTATCTCTCTACTCATTGGATGGACAAATGTTTTCCTTGTGAATAATTACAGGATATCTAATTTTTTCTGTAAATATTGCATTGTAGTTGGTTTACATATTTTAATAATTTTTGTCATTTTTATAATTTCTTGAATAAAAATGTTTCTTTTCAAATGAATTTCTTCATAAAATGGTAAATGATAAATCTTTATAAAAGTTAAATAATAAATCACATTGTACTTTGTTCATATATTTTTATAATCTTGTAAATAAACAGTGTCAAAAGTGTATACAGTAATAGTGATGTCAAGGGAATAACGATCCAGTTGACACTGTTTTTGTGTGCAAAAACAAACATTACTGTTTTTGTTGAGATCTTTTAGCTATTTTTGTGAAAAAAAAATTCTATATATAAATTTATATTAAAACAAAGATGAAAAAAAGATTTTAGTCATGTCTGGAACAAGGCCATAGGAGAAATAAATCCAATGAGTAAGTAAGAAACCCACTATGTGAATGAGCTTGCTATCTATTGTACCAAGGTAGATGCTTTGAAATTAAAAATAAATTTGTATACATTTAAATTTTAGTTTCTTACATGAGATTTTTATAGTTTTGAAGACAGACTGCTACGATACTAATATGTGAATATTACATGCATTATTATTGGATACAGTTAAGTAAAACACCAGTTTTATCAAAATCATGTTTATTTTAAAGACACCTGTACTTTTTGACTACAGTGATATATAGGTTTGGTCAATGGCCAGCAGTAAATGAGCTAATTTTGTATCTCATGTATAAGGCAACCCCTTTAAAATTAGCTTCAAAAGTCGCATGATATTTGAGTATAGACTGTGTGTGTGTGTATATATATATATATATATATATGTATATATATATATATATATATATATACCCTCTTAGTTTGAATATTTCTTTGTTTCAATTCATGATGTTTAGTAAACAGCCAATATTAACATATGGATGTAAAAATGAGTGTGTGTATACTTTTTTTTTTTTTTTTAATTGATTTCACACAAGGAAGGCTATAAAGCCACTTAGACACAAGGGGATACTGGGTGTGAAAGAGTTAGAAACAGAAACATTGCTAAGGGGCAAGAACAAAAGACGAATAATTAAGAGGACAGTAGATAGTGATTGACATTGCATTTAAATTTTTAAAGATCAAAGTTAACTGGAAAGCATAGAGACATAACTATTGTATATCTTTACATTATTTATACTCAGTTATCTCTATCATTGTTGGCTGTTGTACTCTTCATCAGGTGGTTGTTGATCTGGGTGACCTTTTAGGAAATTTCAAAGTGAATCTTTTATTTAATATATGAGGGTAGATTGTTATTGTTCAAGGATGAGGACAATAGTCCATATGTAAATAATAACAACTCAAAATTCATTCAGAAATTATTGTGTATGTGTGTAAATATCATTTTATCTAAAGTAAAACATTAAAATTGTTGTTTTCTAATTCTATTCCCTTTCTCTACTAGAAACAATCTCTGAAGCAAGTGCCATAAAGTCATACCACAGCGATGATCCAAAGTTTTTGTCATTTAATAAAAATGATATCATCTTTATCAAAAGTAAAAGTGCTGGACGTATTCCTTATCTGTGGAGTGGAGAAGTAAGTAATTTCTAAACATTTCACATATATAATCTGCCAGGAATGGTGAAATGTTGTAAGAGCCAAGGTGCAAATTTACTGGAGATGACCTTATGATTAAGACACTCTCATGTACAGTAAATTTGCACCCTGTCTCTTAGAACATGTCACCATTCCTGGCAGATCTTCTAATATCACATATTTCTTCTAATATATGTGGAATACCTACGTAAAAAAGTGATGTAAGAAAAAACTACAGCTACAGTAAAGATGGATGCGGTCATTGGCTAAATCTGACAGACAAGATAATAATATGCGCAATTGAAACCCCCTCTTATGACATACCAGGGTCTCCCAATGGATGTCCTAGTTTATTTATATGTAATTTATATATAATTACTCATCATACTTATTATAAAACCCAGGTTGTGTGTGTGTCTGTACGTTTATATATTGGATCGGATTTCCTACATTTTTGAACCGATTTCAAGAAAACTTCATAGGACTACATAAAATTACCTTGCGGTGGTTCTGACAGTACCAAAAATTGGAAAAACACAATTATTTTTGAATGAAATCAATTTGAAAACACGATTAATAAGCACCGCAAGAATGAAAGGGGGACAACTCATATCGAGTTATACTTATTATAAAACCCAGGTTGTGTGTGTGTGTGTGTGTGTGTGTGTGTATGTTTATATATGGGATTGGATTTCCTACATTTTTCAACCGATTTCAACAAAACTTCACTTTTTTTTTTGGCAGGTAGTGTTTCTTATTGTCTTGCACACTTTTTTCTTTATTTTTATATTCAGAATGCTTTAAAAATTCCATTTACAAGACAATTGTTTATAATAAAATTCTATTCAATCAGTAGACTCATAACAATTGAAAACAATGTTTTTCTTTGAGTTTGGGTTTGACCAATTTGTAAAAGAAAAAAATAATTGAGACATGCGTGTCTGTCAACCTTAAACAATAATCTTTGTCAATTTTATTTTTCAGTCTTTATGATGGTCGATACTTTATCTATCTCTTACTGTTACATCCCCGGGCAACGCCGGGCTCTACTGCTAGTAATTTATATAAATACACAAGTGTAAATTGTCTACATTTAAGTGTATGTATGTATTCATATTGTCTATATGTGCAGTTGCCAAAATATAATGTAACTATGTATGTATGTGTAGTTGCCAAAATATAATGTAACTATGTATGTATGTGTAGTTGCCAAAATATAATGTAACTATGTATGTATGTATGTCTATGTACTAAGCATAAAACTAGAAATGTCATTGCCATATACATAATACTGAATATGTATATAATTTATTTACCTATGAGTATATGAGAAGTAAGTTTTATTTTTATCAGATCATTCACTTAATTTACTATAAATATGCAGGAATTACAATGTCTTAGAGAGAAATTGTCCAAAAATCTTTAGACTAATTGCAACTATCTGTAGTTATTATTAATGTTATCATGTTAATGTAAAGCTATGAGGAAACTAAATTAAACTTTTTACTATTGTAAGTGATATTATAACCTATGGAATGGTGTGCCAATCACTAAGTAGATTGAAAAAAAAATCACCTCTGATGTGACCTGCAATAATGAAATGTATAAGAACATAGTACCACTTGGGAGATGTTTGGGCTCAAATATGAGTTAATATATATATATATATATATTATTCAAACATATATTACAATGAATGTCTATTACGTTTGATCATTAGCCATTCTAAGTTTTGTATAGTTTCTTTAATTTTGAGAGAAAAAGACAAAAACTGTCTAACATTTGGATATTTTTTATTAGGCTGTTCCTAGATCTAAGCTTTCAGCTCACATGAGCCATCTTCAAAGTGGTTATACGGACATTTAAATAAAGATCAAACATATCAAACATAATAGACGTTTGTTGTCTGTTATCTTTAACAATATATGTTTGAAAAATGATCTGCTGCCCCAATACACTATATATATATATATATATATATGGGAACATATACTGAAAATTTGAAGTCATGTTGCCTTTGTCTGGAATGACACCAAAATAGTAGATATAGTGGAACTCTAACAGGATATCTGGCTTATGGCCATATAGCATTGAAACACCAATTCTCTTATGATCACCGAAGTTGTTAAGCAATGTCGAACCTGATCAGTACCAAGATGAGTGACTGTTTGGGAATACCAGGTATTGTAAGCTTGGATGTGTGGGTGGTGTAATGGCTCGGAATTGTTAATTAGAGAGCCGAGTTCCAATTTCAGTTGGGCTTGTTATATTCACTTGTGCACAAATACCATTGAGAAAGGTATGAATCCACCTTTTCTCCCCACCAGCTATGGGTTAATGATTTAGCAATGCAAGTCTTACTAATTAGTAAAACTTGTATTGCTAAATCATTATTATCTCAAAAAAGAACAAAAAAAATTTTTTTACAATTTAAAAATATTTTCTGGCTTTAAATAACCTGAAAAGGGTTGATAAGCTGTAGAAAATGAATCAATCAATCAATGAAATACTAATTAGCTACACAGGCATGTCTTTTAGATTTATTTACATTCTCTGGAATATAAATGTTTGGTTTGTTTTATGGCATATCAACCTCAATGGGTTATTTAATGCCAACAAAATTTTTATTAGTGGTAATATTTTTTTTCAAAAATGTATTGCTGGTAATAATTTTTCTTCAAAAACTTATTGCTGATAACAATTTTTTACAAAGTATTTCTGGTATTAAAAGCTATTTTTACACTTTCATAGTGTTTTGACCCTAGTTTGGGGTTAACTATTTACCTATAGCTGGGACCCTAACAAGTGCTACCACCCCGGGTCAGGGTGGACCTGGGAACACCAGCAATTAAGAGGTGGTACCACGCTCTTCAAAACCTGATCAGAGGCCTTGCTGTTGGAAGTAGTTTATCGTCTTACCCAGGATAGGGAATATAAATGTATAGAAAGTACATTGACCACAAAGTGGGGGATCAGTTTATATATTGATTGTAATATAGAGTTGTTCTCCCATTTTATAACCATACTATAATTTGTTGTTTATTAAACTCTGAGTATGAAATCACCTCTTCTCCAGCTATGGGTTAATTAGTAAGACTTGTTCTGCTAAACCATTATTATCTAAAAAAAATATTCTTACGATCTAAAAATACTTTCTGGCTTTAAATAACCTGCAAAGGGTTGATAAGCTGTAGAAAATGAATGAATCAATCAATGAAATACTGATTAGCTACACAGGCTTGTCTTTTAGATTTATTTACATTCTCTGGAATATAAATGTATAGAAACTGCCGTGACCACAAAGTGAGGGATCAGTTTGTATACCGATTGTAATATAGAATTGATCCCCCACTTTATATCCACATTATAATTTCATTGTTTACTAAATTCTGACTGAACTTGAATCTACCTCTTTTCCTCCAGCTATAGATGAATTAGTAAGACTTGTATCACTAAACCGTTATTAGCATTTTCATTATTCTATACTAGTTTACCTGTCAGTGAGAGCATATATGAAATTGAATTTTTTTTTAATTGTCCTTTTGATGCATTTTTCTAATTATTGTTGAGCCAGCTTTTTTTTTACCTACCATGTTGGAACAACCTGTCATTGTCATAAGAAACATTACAACTTGGCTTTTAAAAATATGACTGTTTCAGAAATTCAGAAAAACAATAAATATATATATATATATATATATATATATATATATATATATATATATATATATATATATATAGTTTATGAAAAAAACAAGGTAATCTGTATGGTAAACCTAAGGAACCTTAAAAGTGGTCTGTTTTATTTAAATTATATATATATATGTGTGTGTATATATATATATATATATATATATATAATTATTTATATATTATATGCGATACTTATTAGAAAGCACTCAATATCAGAGATAGAGCTAACATATTTGGTTGGATTGATGTGAGTTTGTGACCCTGGGTTTGTCTGCTGATCACAAATTGTGAAACCCAGGGTCACATTATCCAACTAATTATTTATATATATATACACACACACACACATATTTATATAGTGTGTGTATATATATATATATATACACACACACACATATGTATATAGTGTGTGTAAATATATATAAATATATGTATGTTTACATTTATGTCTTTGCATGTTAGTATGAATATATGATAATAATTTTATTTTATTTATTTTATCTTTTCAGGCAAATGGTCATGTAGGATATTTTCCCATGTCACATGTCAAAGAAATTCAAGTGTTCATTAGAAGTCCTTCACATTTAGTACCTACTGGTGTATGTAAACTTTTATCTACATAATTTTATTTTTGTGTGTCTATGTGTATGTTATATATGAAAGCTTATAAAATGTTCATATGTTTTTTGTGTACATATGTTTGTATATATATATATATATATCGATAGTTTATGCAAACTTAGGTAATCTAGTGGGTAGAGATGGGGAGGATGATATCCAGAGAGCTCAATGTGAAATTGTGACAGATATGTTTGAATAAAAAGACCCCAGGTTTGTTGATTTCCATCAAATCCAATGCACCACCTGCACATCCACAAACAAATTGGATCATCAGAAAACTTCCAAAAGTTGATATTCAACCTTCAGTTGAAAACTCATGGCTATCCAAATCACATTTTCAGTAATGTCAGTCTCAGAATGTGAGCGTGATAATGTCTCTTTATTCAAAAACATATCTAGCTTTTGTTATAAACATGAACTTACCTAAAATTTTTTATTCAACTTTTATCCTTTTAGATATTGGAAGATGTAAAAACATCAGATGAACAGGAAACTTTATATATAAAGCCTCAATTTTTCAAAAATAGATGAGACAGAAATTGAAGGTAATAGTATTTTTATAGTTAATATTTTGATTTGCATTTTCAAATTAGTCTTTTGCCATAGTGACAGTTTCTAAACATATCAGTTTCTTCAAAACAGTTTTGTTAGGTAAGAATTAAACTCATTCTTAGTTGAAATTGATCTAGAAACAAGCTACAACCATTACACCAAACTTTGAATTGCCTGAGGTGATTTTTCATAGATTATATATATATATAAGGCCAAATATATGAGGATTGAGCTCACTATTAATTTTTTAATTGATCTTCAGTTATAACCATTGCACCATATTTGGTGCCTAAACTTAATTTCTAAGTGTTGATTAGAAAATTGGCACAATGCCTGCATTGAATGGAGCACCTAGTTCATGCTATTTGAACTCACTATCATCAAATTTTAAACAGCTTGCTAACCATTATACATCATTTAAGTGTAGGATCCTCACTATGGTCAGTATGCATTCATTAAATTTGTTTTATTATTAGAACATGAGCCATTTTCTGTCAAGATAATAATTTTCATTTGTTTTAATTTTTTATTTTGTGTATATATATAGGGGTTATGTGGTTTTCCTAATCCAAATAAGTTTCCCAAAGCAATGAAAAGTTGCTAGCCCAATGTAACTCAGGCTAATTTTTTAAAATGAAGTATTAATATTATATATCAGTTATACCATATATATATACTATACTATATGTGAAATTATTATAATTTTTAGTATATAAATTATATTATATATTTAAATATTATATATTTATATTTTATATATATATATATATATATATATATATATATATATATATATATATATATATAAATATAATCTACAATTTTCCATAATTTAATTTGTTACAAAAAAGTAGAATAAAGTTTTATATATATATATATATATATATTTATATATATATATTGTATTTAGGCTTGAAGCATTTTTATCATTAATGATGAAAGAAATTAAATAATTTTTACAAGTTTTTCTATTTTCTTTTCAATATAAATTGTTTTTCATTTAAATAATAAATTTTATATATAATTAATAAATATATAAATTATATAACAAAGACAGATTACCATTGAATTTTCACCTAATAACTGTAGGCTACAAACTGTTGTTTAGACAAGTTCTGACATTCAATGGCTTATAAACTCCAGTTTTTGACATGAATCTCTGCACATTCACAACTGCTCTGATCTTTTCGAATTCAAACAAACACACGTCATAATTTAAGAAATGGACAAGGTCCGACAATTTATTCATTCATTTTATCTTTTTTCGTTGTTATTTTATAGACTCAAGTATTTAAGCAAATGCTCTGTTTATGATAAACAGTATTAAATAACATTTACTCACTGCCTGAATTTCTGAGACAAATTTTCACACTCAAAATTTTCTGTTCTTCTCTTATAATCTCTTCTCATTCATAAATTTTATCACAAACACAGCATTTGCTTAAATACTTGTATCTATAAAATAACAACGTTAAACAATCTCTCACATGTCTTTAATGAATATATATATATATATATATATATATATATATATATTTTTTTAAGACATTTTCTCTCATGTTTATAATTCTTTTTATAGATACAAATATTTAAGGGTGACAAATGCAAACATGTGAAAATTTCTCAGACATTCACACACACTTTCTCTCTTGTTTAACCCCTTTCTTATAATAACAAACACACTTAAATATTTCTCTCTATAAAAATGTATAAATATAAAACGTCTCTTTAACATGCACACACACACACACTATTTGGATTTGACTCTCTATACACATATATACACATATATATATATTCTCTCTGACAATTAAATCGGAATCTCTCTCTCTCTCACTCTCAACACAGAACTTTCTCTCAAACAACCAGTTTCTTTCTTAGACACACAATTTCTCTGGGATCCACAAGCACACTTAAAACACAAAATAATCTCTCTCATGCACATTCTCTTTCTCTCTACACAACATTTACCCCCCTCTTTTTTAAATCACACACAAACACTTTTCTCTCATACATCCACGGGTTTCTTTCTTAGGACACATATCTCTAATAGGAAACATGTGCACGCCTCTCTCTGTAAACTCTTTTTCCATTGCACGTACACACTTTGCATATCATTTGAAGGTTCTTCAGTCCACACACACACACACACACACACACAGAGTGTCTTTTTCAGATGGAAGTCTTATAAATATTTTGTTAAAAATTTTTTTTTTCTTGAATGTAAATATTGAGGTGTTTTTTTTTTTGTTTTTATTTTTTTTTTTTTTTTTTTTTTTTCCCCCCTCATTGAATGTTTTTTTTTTTTGTTTTAAAAATGATTAAATAATCCCAACAAATCAAAGAACAGATAGTAAAATTCAACTTCCGTTTATTTTTTTTAGTTCTCCATTTGTAACAAATTAAATTTGGATTTAAAATGAATAAAATAAAAAGAGAAATTTGTTTGTTTGTTTTATTTTTTTTTTTTTTTTTGTTTTTTTATAAAAATCAACCCAAGCAAAATATATATATATATATATATATATATATATATATGAAAACTTGGTAAAAATGGTTGTATATATAAATATAAATAAATATATATATATATATATATATATATATATATATATATATATATATATAACTAGCAGTAGAGCCCGGCGTTGCCGGGGATGTAACAGTAAGAGATAGATCAAGTATCGACCATCATAAAGACTGAAAAATAAAATTGACAAAGATTATTGTTTAAGGTTGACGGACACGCATCTTCTTAGTTTTTTTTTTTTTTTTTACGAATTGGTCAAACCCAAATTCAAACAAAAACATTTTTACAATCGTTATGAGTCTATCGATTGGTGAATAGAATTTTATTATAAACAATTGTCTTGTAAATGGAATTTTTAAAGCATTCTGAATGTAAATAAATAAAAAAAGTGTGCAAGATAACAAGAAATACTACCTGCCGAAAAAAAAAGTGGATGTTTGTTTTTATCGGCTGAAAAATGTAAGAAATCCGATCACATATATAAAGGAACACACACACAAACAACCTGGGTTTTTTTTAACCTAAGTCACTCCACGGAATCACTAAAACATAGAGCATAGTCTGATGAAAAAACGCCAAAGTTTATGAAAACAAAATTTTATCGTCAAAATGCTTATTTTTTATGAAGAGGATAGACTAAATTTTTTTTAATTATTTTTAAAAATTTTTCCATTTTTTAGAATATTCTAAATTTTGATTTAAAAACCTTGTTTTCTCTTTTTTCGCAACAAGGGGTAGTAAATAACATAGATAATTTTTAGCACATTTTTTTTGTATTTACACACATTAATTTGGAAAATCTTGCAAAAATAAAAATAATTGTCAGATGTTAATGAAACTTTCAGTAACTATTCACAGATGATCGAAATTATTACAAATATTTTTTTTTTTATTAAAATCATGGCAGAAATATTATTTTTATATTTATTAACACCCCCATAACTAATTTTATGAAAAACTCTAGAAATTTGAGACCATCGGTTTTAGTGATTACAATAGTTAAAAGCACAAGGCTTTGAAGAAAGCAAATCACGTTTTTTTTTTGTTTTTTTTTGGCCAACGTACCTGAAAATCAACTGTGAATTGTAACATACAAAACTTAATAAAACAAATATATTATTTAGTTTCAAATGCTTTTATTTGTTTTAATTTGTTTTTATGAATATGGACAATATTTTCTGAAAGCAAAAAATTTTTTCAATGAAAAATTGAATTTTTAATACAATTATTTCTTATTTCTTTAATTTTAAAAGATTTTTAAAAAATGTTTAAATTGAATTTAAAAAATATTTTAACATTAGTTAAAAGCAACATCAACCTTTCAAAATGTCCGTGTGAGATTGTCATTGTCTAGCGCTTTGAAAATTGTATAATTTGGACCAATCAGATTAGCCATGGTAATTAAGAAATGTAATTTTTGTGTTTATAGTCGGACAGTAATTATCAAGTACGGAAGAACCAACCAGAATACAATTTAGTTGCATTATTTGAGTTCAGCATTGTTCTCCGCTGTTAAGCCCTTTACTTTTTATGAAACACGTATGGAGAAGTTAATTTGAGTTTTCAATTTCAACTGAGAAGGGTACCTACAAGTAACAGTATCATCTTATGAAATTTAACTACTGCTAAACTTTAATTTATATGATCTTATTTTTATATTAATCTCAGTTATGACATTTTTCCATAAATGAAATATCAAAATTAATAATAAAATGAATGGAAATACAAATAACACAGTAAAATGTAATAAATGTACATAAAATTATAGTATTTGTATGTACTTCTGATAAAATTTCATAAGAAAGGTACCTAAATTAATTAGATACCTTTTTCTTATGAAATTTAATCTCACTATTAACAGTCTTATTTTTTAATTTCTTTATATTTTCCATAAAGCATCGTAAACGTAAAAATGAAAGCTAAGTACAAAAAAATAAAAAATAAAAAATAAAAAATTAGAGCGCTGAAAGTTTTCCTTAAAAGTAACAAGGTAAATAATTTGTTCACTTAAATAATTTCACTTCCTTCCATCCGTAGAAAGAATTCTCCTCCCGTAAGTTATCTAAACGTCATGAATGTGCCTTTCGTCAATCGTCAAGCGACGCAAAAGGTTATGACCTGCTTTGTTTTATTTTCAAATTACATTTTTTCGGCGCAGAAGCTAAGTTAAGCTTGGTTCAAAATATTTTAAATAAACAGTATAATATCTGTTTTATTAAAATCAGTTTTGAAAAAATGATAATTGATTTTAAAAGAATATCAAAGTAAGATTTTAATCTTTTTTATCAAATCGAAAAAAATGATTGAAAATGATTATCTGCCCTTTTTTTTTTTTACCAAAAAAAAAAACAATATTTTTAACGAAAATTTCAGACATGCTAGGAACGATTAAAAAATGTAAAAAAATACCCCCAAAATACTTTGATCTTTCCTCTTTAATAATAATATGAACATTAGACGATAAAATTTTGTTTTTCGTCAAGTTCGGCGTCTTTTTTCATCATGCTATGCTCTTTTTGTTTACATTTTCGTGGGTGAGTTCTCCCCCTTTCATTCTCACGATGTGTCTTAATCGTGTTTTCAAATTGATTTTATTAAAAAACAACTGTATTTTTCCCATTTTCGGTCCCGTTAGAACCACCACAAGGTAATTTTATGTAGTCCTGTGAAGTTTTGTTGAAATCGGACAAAAATGTAGGAAATTTGATCCAACATATAAACGTAAACGTTACAGACACACACACACACACACACAACCTGCGTTTTATAATAAGTAAGATTATTTACATATTATGAATGTCTATACTTATTAAGTTCTCAATATCAGAGATAGAGCTAATTTTTGTTGAAAATGTGAGACAAAAATTGTCCCTGGGTTTCATAGTTTTGCATTGTCAGACAAACTGATTAATTTTAAAAATTTTGGGTTTATGCCATTGCATATATTGTGTTATTATGGAAGTGGGGGAAAACACAATATCACATCAGTCAACCAAATATTTTATATATATATATATATATATATATATATATAAAAAATTTAAAGTTCATCGTTATAAAACGTGGTTATATATTTCAGATAAGACAGGACAGCAATAACAGAAACTTGTTTGGTTAAATTTCAAACAAATTTTTTATTAAGTTTTTAAAATTTCAGAATTAGTTGTTTTGTGTTATCAGTAAATTTACCAAAATTCATATTTATTTTTATGTTATACAATTTTTTCTTGAGTTCAATGTTACTACAAAGACTGTTGCATAAATATACACAAAATGCAATCTTTGAAAATGAATGTAGTAACATTTGAATGTACTGAATCACGTGAAATGTGCCTGAGCAGACATTTGCAACAGGGATTTATATAGCTATATATATATATATATGAGCATATAGCCATATACCACAGTTTCCACCATTTCCATTATATTATTTATATATATATAACCCATCATATATACTCCCCAGAAACTGTAACTATGGTTAACTCAGCATAGATGCAGTATAAACCACAGGTTATTGAACAATCACAAACTATCATCAAAGAAATTATATTTTAACCCATTTCAACTTCTCTTTTTTTTCTTTTTTTTCTTCTTTTTCTTTTTTTCTTCTTTTTCTTTTTTTTCTTTTTTTTTTTTAGCAGGACAGACTTTTTTCTTTGTTTTCTTTTTGGCTTTTTTTTTTTTTTTTCTTTTTCTTCCTTTTCTTTTTTTTCTTTTTCTTTTGGGGAAACCTTTTTTTTTTTTTTTCTTTCTTTTTTCTTTTTTTTTTTTTTTTTTTTGAAGGTTTTTTACACGAGGTATTTTCAGTAGAATAGGCAATAAACTGATTGATCCTGGTTGTATATTAATCATAGGGGATTTAGATATCATAGCACTTACGCAATTTTCACCAAGGAAATGTCATTTTCATAAAAGATTGAATATAATTTACTGAGACAAAGATGCATTGAAAGTGTCATAATCTATGTGTCTCTTGTGATTAATACACAAAAGGATCTGTTCTTTTATTTCCATATTATATCCTATTCTTACTAAAAAATGAGTTGAAATTAGTTAATTAAATCTAATTTCTATAATGATAATTATAAAAATTATAATTAGTTAATTATGATTAACTAATTAAATCTATTTTCTATAAAAGATGAAGTAAAAATCAAACCTGAATCGTGATGCTGGATAACTGGTAAAAATTTGTAAAAAGAATGAATTTTCTTATGTATATTTATCACTAATCTAGTAAATCTTGAAGTTTCTTAATATATTTCCTCTTTTCCACTGTATTCATCCCAAATTTAGTCAGGCAAAAAAGATATTGAGTTATAAATACTTGACATCTCACTTCATTAAGAAATTTCATTTATTTTTCATTTATTTTTTCCTACATTTCTCAGTTTAAATTAATGAAGCTGATGTATTTTTTTCTCTAAAACTCAAGAGTTTTTGTTAAACAAATCTCCCAGGTGAAAATATGTTTAGTAGCATGATCTCAGCTAGAATGCAGAGATAGCATTTCTGTTTACTTTTTTCTCTAAATCAGCTATTAACTCTGTTATGTAGAACTTTTGTTAACGCTTTAGCATTCAAACCCACTCCACAAATATTGGCTGTCAATGTTCAACCCACTGTAACCTGCCTCCATATATATTCTGCCATAATATGATGACATATTCGCAAATGACATAGAAAGTCATGCAAACAGTCAGACTTTGTGCAAATAATTATGGGGCAGGATTTGGCATGTTGAATTCTGAAGGTTTAAGCAAAACTTTCAAATGACAGCATGATCTTGGCTAGAAGGAAACAATAGCATTCCTGTTTACTTTTTCTCTAAATCAGCTATTAACTCTGTTATGTAGAACTTTTACTAAATGAAACTTCCAAATGACAACATGATCTCAGCTTCAACATTTCAAGAACATTCTCAAAAGCTTTGTTTTGTTTTTGTCTTTTTTTTTTTTTTTTACTGAAAGTTCATTAGAAAATTTTTCCTTCTCACCAAATTAAATTTTATCAATCTGATAATCAAATTTAAATTCGCAGTTTCCATAACATTTTTATAGATGAACGTGTGTATACAATGCTAAGTAGTCTTTATTTAACATGAGATAATATGCTTGTGGCATAATGCCGTAGGGGAAGACTGGGAAAGTCTGGTCGTCGCTGACTATTCTAAACCTAGTTAATTTCATTCATGACCCATTCATTCTTACAATTAACTCATTCACCATAAGAATTCATCCTTCTTCACCAAAACCATCATTTACCAAAATATCACATATTCACATGGAGCTTACTCAGAAAAACCCCATGGTATAAAAAGTTTGATATGTAAAATTGGAATTTTATTATTATTATTATTATTTTTTTTTTTTTTTTTTTTTTAAACTGGCTTTTCTTACAAAAATAAATAAAAATAGATATCATGAAATGAAGATGGTTTTTGAGCTTTAAAATAAAATAAATGCTAAGTAGTCATTTATTTTTGCAATCCAATAGAATATCAATGTTCTAATTATTTCTATTTCAGAAAGAACCAGCAGAATCTTTGCCAGAAACAGAAAAAGATGAAACAGAAATTGAAGAGGAAGAGGAATCAGCCCCAACAAGATCTGAAGGTAAATAAATAAATAAACGTATATATATATATATATATATATATATATATATATAGGGTTGGCAACTAAGTTCCCACCGTTTTATTTAAATTTTTTAAAAGGTTTAATAAGAAATAACAACTAATTAATCAATGTTTACAACATTTTTCCCAATGTTCAACAAGATTTTCAATACTTCATTAGTACAAATCGCCCTGTGTTGACTTGAAAAATTTATCAAACCAAGTTCTCAATTCTGCATCAGTAGCATTTGAAAGAGATGGAAATCCGTTGGTACCAAATTGAGAGAGGACGGCAGGTGTGGCAGCACATCCCATCAATGAGTTTGAATGGCTTCCTTGGTCATATTAGCAATATGAGGGTGGGCGTTGTCATGCAGCAAAAGAACTCCATGCTGCTAATTAGATCTTTTCCCTTGAATAGCCATGTTGAGTCATTCCATCTGTTGAACATAAAGTTCCGTGTTGACCGTTTGGTTCTGTTCAAGCAATTCATAATGGATAATCCCTTCCCAGTCCCACCATATTCACAACATTATTTTATGCGGATGAAGATCGTGTTTCACGCACAGTGTCGCTTGTTTACCAGGGCTAAGCCATTCCTTGTGCTGCTTCATATTGATGTACAGGCACCATTTTTTTGTCACCAGTAATAATTTGCTAAAGAAATCACTGCGTTCATGAATTGAGCAGTGACTAGCTAGCAAACCAATGGAGAATTCTCATGCAAGAGTTGGTTTAATTGCTCTTCATTTAACTCAACTGGACGGCCAGAATGAGGTGCATATTTGAAAATCAAAATTTCCATTTTGAACTTGGCATACCAATCAAATATGACATCCTCTCCATACACAGCACAAATGTTATATATATATATTTATATGGCCTTAGAATATTGATTAAAATTTAAAAAAGAAGAAGGTGTTGAAAATATCATACTTTTATCTATACATTCCATTTTAATGATCTGAAAATAAACAGAAATTAAATTAAATTATCTTGAAAAAATAGATTCCAAAATTATGAAAAATGGTGGAAACTTAGGGCCAACGAAATATATATATATATATATATATATATATATATAGTTTATGAAAAAACTAGGTAATCCGTATGGGTAAACCTAAGTGGGATATAATCCAAAAGAGCTCAATGTAAATATAGCAAATAATTTAAATAAAAACAGACCACTTTAAAGGTTCCATGTAATAAATTATTTCACCACAGCCCTTTTAAAGGACTGCGGTTCATCAGACTTTACTTCCAAACAAAAAAATGAAAAAGAAAATTTAGACATTTTTGACGAGCCGTATTAAACATATGTAAATTAATGAGGAAGTGAGGGGAGAGAGAAGATATGAGTGGGTTATATGTTGACACATTTAAACGGTCACTAACCCAAAAAATGTCTTTTCTCTCCCCTCACTTCATTAATTTTTGTTTAATACTGCGTCAAAGTATGAACCTTTCATTTTGTTTGTAAGTAAAGTCCTTTAAAAGGGCTGTGGTGAAATAATTTATTACATGGAACCTTAAAAGTGGTCTGTTTTTTATTTAAATTAATTTATATATATATATATATATATATATATATATATAATTTAAAAAATAGAAATAAAAGAACGCAAATGTTTGTGTATCTGTATACTACTCAGTGACTATAATAATCAATAACTAGTTATATATTATTATTATTCTTTTCATTTAAAACCAGCCAATAAACAATCCAACACAAAAGAAGACTCAATAACACAGCATGTAGATGAAATCATGAATGCATACCATCAGATAAATCAAGAGTTACATGGCACAAACAAGAAAGTGGATGGTATGTCCAATTTTTTTTTACTCTCCAGGCTTTTGTAAAAAAAGAGTAAAGTTAACATTTAGCACTCTACATCATTTATGAATATTACTTCCCCTTTTACTGTCAAAATATAAAATTTTATATATTAGTTTTATATAATTGAAATTGCAGTAACCTGAGTCTCAATTTCAGTCAAGGTTGTTTTAGGCGTTGCTATAGAAAGACATGACTACACAACCAAGATATTCAAATTCACCTTACACTGGCAGGACTAACATTTTGTTTGGTGAAAATAGTCACCTACAGAGTGCTAAAGGTTAAAGAGTAATATACATTTATATTACATTTATATTACAATAGATAATCACACCTTGTATTGGGTGACCCAAAAGTCACTAAGAGATTTAAAAATTTAATAACTCCTATATTTTTTAACTTTATTTTACAACACCATAGTATTGTATAGAATAGATATTGGAAATAAACTTATAAAATTATTTATATTTTAAATGGCACTCATTTTCAACTTCATACAAGCATGCCCTTTCTAAGGCATTTTTCATCACTGCTTTCAATGTTCCAGGCTCTAGTGCACTGAATGTTGTCCTTCAGCTGTTGGAGAGTCTGACGTTCCTTGACATAAACATTTTCTTTGAAATAGCCCTATAAGGCTTGTCAGATCTGGGGAACATTGTGGCCAGAGAACCACAAGAAATTATTCTTTACCCAAAAATTTGACTGAGATGTTGGATTGTGGCCCTTGTATGTGCTGTCACCCCCATCTTGTATGGAAGTGGGTTGATGCTTTTAAGAATTCGTTGGTGTGACATTTGAGAGATCCAAGCCTGTCGGGACTGCCTTCAAGTTGATGTACTTGGATCTTCTACATTCCAAACCAAATGTGGTTTGTCACTTTGTTGAATGTTGCTTACTGAACCATTACTGTCAAAACTTAGAGATTCTCTCACACCATAATGATGACGATATGCTCATTGAGTTTGAATTATTTTTACTTGGTTTTGGTAGAAAGATTTCTCTATTTGTGTTCGTTTTTTAGTGAAGTATTTTTACAATTAATTTCCAAAGCTGCCTTTATGAATAACTTGAATGAAAACTAAAAATGCTAATAAACAAAAAAAGTTATTAAACTCTCAAATGTCTTGGTGATTTTTGGGCCATCTTCTATAAAAAATTTTTAAAATTTCAGAATTAGTTGTTTTGTGTTATCAGTAAATTTATCAAAATTCATATTTATTTTTATGTTATACAATTTTTTCTTGAGTTCAATGTTACTACAAAAACTGTTGCATAAATATACACAAAATGCAAACTTTGAAAATGAATGTAGTAACATTTGAATGCACTGAATCACGTGAAATGTGCCTGAGCAGACATTTGCAACAGGGATTGGCTAGCTACCCTATACACAGGCATGTGAGCAGCCAGCCATTATACCATGTTGTGAATGTATAAATATTAATTTCTGCATATATAAATATATATGCATATACATTTATGTGCCTAAATAACAGATGTCAAAAATGTTTCTTGCATACATTTTTTCTTTTTTTTACCTATATGTTTGATTGTGGGTTTAATTATAATAGCACAAATCAAAAACACCTGTAATAATATATAAAATTGATAGATTTTAATCTATTTAAAGCTGAATAGATTTTTGTGAGGAAAGTAATGAACTAGAGTAATGATAGTCAATAAATTAAAAGTTCAAATGATTTATCTTTGCACCAACTTCAATGTTTCACAGACTTACTGTTAATTAGGGTCAGATAAATCTATTGAATTATTAACAGATATCACAACATCAATCAGCTAAGTGACAAACCTTTTACTTATATTAATTACATATATATATATATGATGCAATGAGAACGAAAGTAATATATAAATTCTAACATTCCCAGATTTATTCCGAAATAGGGTTTGATACCAAGAGAATTGTTTATAACCATTTTTGGTTTTCACCAGTCAAGGCGCAATTGAAATGCACCAAAACCTCCAGAGTTTTCATAGATGAACTTTTTTGTAATCATTCAATTCACTTGTCAGGTGGTATCAACAATTGTCTGCCAGTTTCTGCATTTTTATTATTTTTTTATTAAATTAAGAAAATAATTGATATGTTTTTTATTGGTGTTTGGTTTATTTTTTTCTCCTTTGTGTGTGTATGAGTATGTTTGTGTATGAGTATGTTTGTGTATGCATGTATGTTTGTGTATGCATGTATGTGCACATGTAGAATGTTGTGGTTATTTCTTTTTATGATTTTCTTGTTTCCTTATACTCTTACTATTTCTTTTTCTTTTGTTATATATTTATATTTATATATACCCCTCACTAGTAGCATGGCTCTCCCTACCACCTGAAGATTGCATTGTATAAAACTCAGTCGTGCTGCTGATGCTGGTTAATATGTATATTTATTAATATATATTGTCTCGTAATTTATATACATGAGTGGAGATATTTTTATATATATATATATATATATATATATACACACACACACATTTGTTTCTTCACAGGTAGCATGACTTGGAGTTTCAGACACAAAGCAATCTTCAGGTGTTGAGTAGAAACTGACTATTACATAATTTAAATTTTAATAAAAATATCTGGTTATACTTATTGGCTCTGTTATATTACATTGAGCACTATTTTATTAGCACCAGTACTCAATGTGTGATATATATATATATATATATATATATATATACACACACACACACACACACACACGTACGATTTAGCAGGCAAAAATTTTTTTGGTGGACCCCTTAAAAATGAAGACACAATGGTGATCTTTTTAGAATTTGCAAAATTTGTATTTGTAAAAATTCTTTAAAAAATTCATAAAAATAAATAAAGCTTTAAAATCAAGTATTTTTTATTGACAAATAACATCGATTATGATGACAAGAATTATTAGCAATGATAAGTTGCAGTGGAACATTTTCTAAAATATGTGGGAAGAACAAGATTGTTGTATAACTGTATAAAAATATAAAGCTTTTTTTCAGCATAAAATCAAAACAACTATTGAAACAAAAAAAAAATATGTACAGTAAATGTCAAAATGATCCTTTACATTCCAAGATGAATATTAATTAGCAATTTTTTATAGATAAAAATATTTTCGCAACTAATTTTTGTTGCCTAGCATTCAGAAGAACTTCCTCTACCCAGGCAATTTGTCAGAATCAAAATAATTTTCTATTATTTTAGATGGGTGAGGATCCTGCTTACAATATAAATACATCAAACTGATCCTTGACTTTTTGACATACATGTAGTTTTCTTACCTTTTTGAGGGTACCAATCTGTTTAAGTATTGGTGTTTTAAAATGAAATGTATTATTACTATGTAATGTGTGTATACATATGATGTTCATTTAATTTCCGGTGGACATAAATGTTGCAAAATTGAAATAAACTTGTAACATTTGTTGGAATTCCTTTCATCTACTTCTTTTCTTGTGAGTGAAATTGGGTAGATGGAAGAGTTGGGGACATGTCTCTAGCTGTGCCAGCACAAAGTCACAAGTCATTGTGACCGAGGGTTTGAATGTGCTGGTCTTGTTATAATTGTTGATCATGCTAGATCTAGATAACACGCTCTCTTCCAGAAACTGTAACTGCTCAGCATAGTTGCAGTATAAACCACGGGTCAGCTCTGTGGGTATTGAACAAACACAAATGTGCCTGAGTAAGCGTCTGCAATAGGGATTGGCTAGCTGCCCAAATAGATGTGTTTCTTTGAATATGAATGGCCAGCTATATATATATATATATATATATATATATATATATATATATATATATATATATATATATATATATATATACTCTACATTTGAATAATAACTCTAACATTTTTAGGCATTTAAAAAAAAAAAACATGCCTGGGCGCATACACAATTCCGGAAAATCCTTGTTGAAAACACAACTATGCTTAAACATGAAAACAATAATCAAAAACTAAAAATTCTTGAAGCTATATACATAAAACAGTTGAAACCTAACCAGAACAAAATAAACTATGAAATCTCCACAAATATTCTTAAATGTCTATGATTGATAACAGAAGCCATTAGTTTATACCAATGGCTTCCCATACTTAATATTTCTCATTTTCACTCTTGCGGGGTCATGTGTGATGTCATGAGCTGCAGTGCGATTTTTGCTTCCAGCGTTTCGTATGCACGAGTTTACCATTGCTTGGAAATCATCCATGTAAACATAAACAGATCATCATTATTGTTTTGTCTGTGTATTGGTTAATATATTGTAATATAATTGTCATCTTTGATAATGGCTTATGTAAGCCGAAAGCTTAGATAGGATTTAAAAAATATGTATCAATATTGTGATTTTCTTTCTTCTGTTAATGAAAAGAATTTACATAAAATAGACAAAACTTGTCTATATTATTTAATGAAACATGCATTAATATATATATATATATATATATATATATATATATATATATATATATATATACATACACACATATATAAATATAGATACAAACACATATATATATATATATATATATATATATATATAAATATATATATATATATATATATATATATATATATATATAAAGGCAGGATGTGTGTGTGTAACAAATGCACAGCCGCAATTTTCGATGGATTTGCACCAAAATTTACATGCACATGCTCCAAGTTAGCGGGAAGGCCAAGACCGACTTTGCATTTCCCAACTCCCATTGATAGTGGAAATAATCAATTTTTTCATGCTTCTACAGCAGTTTTCATGTAGTTTGTGGCCATTTTGTACTGGCCAGAGTGAGAGCCAATAGCTGGTTGCCACGAATAGGCAGGAAGATTCTATTGGCCAGCGTGAGAACCAACAGCTGATTGACATGAATGTTAACTAGCATGCTAGCTTGCAAAAAAAATCGATAGCCGTATTCGTCACAAGTGGGAAAAATTTAAGTCTGCATGGCACTTTACTCCAATTGGCTCATTTGCTTGCTTAAACTCAATGTTGATTCTGATTCCGCAGAACTGGGTTGGGTCTGAAAAAGTATTTGTTGTTAACATTCTTTTTTCATTCGGTTTTTCCAGTTATGAGTCCTTTTTTAAAGCTGATCGTTTTGTGTTCATTTTGTTTAGTTCTTTTTTCGTAACAGATTTAATATTTAGTATAGAGCTTAGAAAAAATTTGCAGTGTGAGATAGGCAAGAAGTAAGGCATGTAGCAACATCAGCACGACAAAGGGCACTCCTTTAAAAAGGCAAGGAAGGGCAAAAAAAATATTTTTAAGTCAAGTGATAGCGATTGCTGTATGAGTTATGCAATTTTGAATCAAGCACAGACAACGCCGGGCCATGCTGCTATATATATATATATATATATATATATATATATATACACACACACAGTACTCTGCATATATATATTAACAAGTTAAAATTTAAATTTTATTATAACTTAATCAAAGCCTGTTTTCTATTCCTGAAGAATACAAATATGAAATTTTTAAAATATTGTTCTTTTCATTTACTTACAGTTAGGAAAATTATTTGTATTTTTAAATTAATTTTACTTTCAGTGATTTAATTTCTTTATTAATTTGAAACAATTAAGTAAATTACAGAGTTTAGCAGAAATACCTCCTATGGTATCATGGTAAGACACTGTCAATAGTGACTTCATCAAGCTAATGACTTACCACTATGTGGGAGATATTTCTGCTGTATCTTGTATTTTTCCCTATTATTATAAGAAAAAGGATTGTCTTAAGAAGAAATAAATTCTACAGATCTTCCACTAATATTCAGAAATACAGGGTGTTTCAAAAAATTTGATATCCTTTGAGATGTAAATATCACAGAAAGTACATGATTAAGGCAAATGAAATAAAAAAGTATTAACGTTGAAGATCATAAGATTTATTCTTCCAAATCTGAATGAGAAATCCAAAAGCATGTGGATTATGTGAATGATTTCACAAATGTTCAATATGCACACCGCCTGAGACACGGCATTTTTATACCTGTAAAGAAAAAGATTAAAGATTAAAGAACATAAAAATACAAATAAGAAAACAGAAAGACATAAAAACATAAAACAAACATTAAACATAAAGATGCTATTAAAATTTGAAGTCATTTGAAGGAGAGCTAACAAAGTTATTAGATTGCGAAATGATATCAAATTTTTTGAAACACCCTGTATTATTGGAAAATACGTTATTTCAAATATGGCTAAAAAGAAACATGTCTTTGACTGTTTGTATCTGTGTACATGTATTTATATATTCACACAGCTTTGATATAACGCTATATAATTTTGTATAATTTGATATATCAACAAACAGTATTTAGAAAAATGTGACAAGTTTTTTGGGTTTTTTTGTGACGCATTTTATCCTTTAGAATTTCATTGGACTGGGCTTTGTTGGCATTGCCACCTCTACATATGCACACAAAATGAAAGTCAGATAGTTTCAAATTTTTTTGAAAAAATATTTTTGAAATAATTTTTTTTTTTTCCCCTCAATTTAGGTGAAATCATCTGTGTGCTTTTTCTCTCTATCACCTTTGTCCCTGACTATCTCACACTGTAACAGTATAAAATCTACCAAAAATGGTTATATATTGTAAGAGCCTGGACACAAATTTATTGTGGCTGAACTAACGATCAAGACACTTTCTAGACATTTTTGCCTCAGTAGATTACTTTCTCTTTTAATCAAAGTAGCATACCCTATTTCAAAATTGTGGTCCAGGCTCTTACAATATATCACCATTCTTGGTAGATTTTATATTGCCCCAGTGTCAGTGTGGGATAATCAGGGAAAAAGGTGATGGGGAGAAAAAGAATACAGATTATTTCAGCTAGATCGGGATGGGGGGAGGGGAATATTCTTTCAAAAATATGAAACTGTCTGTATCTCTCATTTCATGCACATGTGTAGACGTGGCAATGTCAACAAAACCCAGTCCAATGAAATCCTAATGGATGAAACACGTCATAAAAAAACCTTTCCAGTTTGTCATATTTTTTTAAATTGCACAACTATGTAACTGTTAAATGTCATAGTCTAAAAGTATAGATTCACATTATTGCAATATGGATAAATTCTTGGCTTGACTTCACAAAATCTGACCAAATGACTAAAGAAGAGAGTTTTTTCTTTTCTTGCTTTTTTCTTCCCTTGTTGGTTAGGCCAAGATGTTTTCATCCCCTATTTTCTGTTATATAAATAACACTTTATCTTTCTATTACATGAAGCCACATCTAAAGACGAACACATCAAAACAAAGCCACAGAATGAACCAAGCAGTCAGATTTCAGAGCCCAAACCAAAATTCACTGAGACAACTTACCAATCACCAGATATCATAAAAGATCCCATGCAGACTACACACACTGATGTACTTCAGCAAGCACACCAGACTCACAGTCAAGAATCTGTCAGCCTAACACAGGTTCATGATGACACAACATCCCGCTTGATTCAATCAACTCCAGTAACAACCACATTTACTTCTAAATCTTTATACACTGTATTTGATGGCACAACTCTTTTCGATGGGGTGACACCTGGGAATGAAGCTCCCCAAACAGCAACTGTTTCCAGGTTTATCCCTGACCAAACAGCAACTGTTTCCAGGTTTATCCCTGACCAAACAGCTTCATCTGAAAGCTCCAGACCAGTGAGTGTTAATATTGAACCAAGTACATCACCATTTGTGACACCAAACAGTAATTTTGACCCAAGCTCTGGACAAGATACAGTTATAAAGAAGACCCTAGCCATGCAACCTGACCTTGAAAATGTACCTAGTCGTGAAAGGCAACGTGAAGACATTTCTAAATCAAGTCATGGGGACCCATCGATTGGGTTCTCTGGAAAGAGTGTTTCTCAGTCAACTAAACAACATTCATCAGCTGAGATCACAGAAAAAGCAAAAGATAACCTTACAACGCATGAGTTTGGAAATTTAATGAAGTTTATTGAAGTCTATATGAAGTCCATTCTTGATATGGTGAGTAAGATGATACAATGGGGTTTCAGTTAAATCACTGGGTCAGTGTATTTATGTATGTCTCTTGTGCTGTATCTGTTCACATTTATGTAAACACATCAGTAAGTCAGTGGCCTCATAATGAAAAAAGTATACATATTATGCAACAATATTTTTCAGTGTAATCTCCATTTTTGTTAATAAACTTAAACCAAGTTTTCCACTAATTATATAGACTGAACATATTTTGAAAATTTCAGATCAAAATTCAACTAGTAATTTTCAGATTTAATGATTGTCCTATGTAGAGAGGTGGAGATGCATGTATGTGTGTGTTTGTAGTTAAATAGAATAGACAAAGAATAACATTAAACAACTGATTCAACAAGCAAAAAATGTCACCAAAAGATTTAACAGATATTCTCAGTTCTTTCAATTTCATATAGGTACCACCATTTTTTCACAAGAAAAAGAGCATACCATTATGAAAAAAGGCCCCAAACTTGATAAAAGGATATTTTATCATCAAAATGTTTGTTATTATTAAGAGACAAGTATTTTTTTATTATTCTATTAAATTTTTTAATCCTTTCTAGCATATTTAAAATTTTGGTTAAAAATCTTGTTTTTTTTTTTTTTTTGTTTTGTTTTCATCAGCCAGGGACCATAAATTAGTATAGAAAACTATAGCATTTTTTGCGGTGAAAAACTCAGTGATTTTGAAATTCTTGCAAAAATCAAATAATTGTTGGATTTTAATGAAATTTTCAGTACTAATTCACAAATAAATAAAATTATTTTCAAAATTTTATTTTTAGAAAATTTTGGTAAAAATATTTTTTTTACTTCTGTTAACCCCCAAATTACTTAATTTTATGAAATTTGAGGAAATTAAAACTTCAGCATCTTGATATTCATATTAGTTAAAAGTTGGACTCCTTGAAGAATTTTAGTAATCATTTTGTTTTTGTCAAGCAGGAACACTGTTTACCAAAAATCTGCTCTGAATCATAAAATAAAAAATGCAATAAAACTGACATTATTTAATTAAGAAAACTTTTAATTGCTTTTATAAATAAGATATATTAAGGACACTGTTGTTTTAAGAAAAAAAACTTTTTTTTGATGAATAATGAATTTTTACAAGAATTGTTTTCATTTTTGAAAAATTTTAATTAGAAAAATTTATTATGTTTAAATCTCTTAAAATTCTGTATTATAAATGGTGAATCTTAATACCAGTTATCAAACACCATAATTTTTTAAAAGAATTTTAGAAATTTTTTTTATGTATATAAATGTGCTCATTTTTGAAAGTATGGGTGGCCATACATGATATTAGAAAATAAGAGTGATGACTATAGTAAATTTAAAATCAACATTCCTAAAATTAGATTATGGAGGACATTTTTAAGAATACTGAGTACTTAAAAATTATATAAAAAGTTGTTTGTGTCATTTTCTTAAATTATGTTTGACAGATAATAAACCTGTCATCACTTTGTCATCACCTGTCAAATACATAAAGATAGCTACTGTCAGTAAAAATCACCTGTCAGATACATAAAGATGGCTACTGTCAGTAAAAATCACCTGTCAGATACATAAAGATGGCTACTGTCAGTAAAAATCACCTGTCAGATACATAAAGATGGCTACTGTCAAATACATAAAGATAGCTACTGTCAGTAAAAATCACCTGTCAAATACATAAAGATGGCTACTGTCAGTAAAAATCACCTGTCAAATACATAAAGATGGCTACTGTCAGTAAAAATCACCTGTCAAATACATAAAGATGGCTACTGTCAGTAAAAATCACCTGTCAAATATATAAAGATGGCTACTGTCAGTAAAAATCACCTGTCAAATATATAAAGATGGCTACTGTCAGTAAAAATCACCTGTCAAATATATAAAGATGGCTACTGTCAGTAAAAACCACAGCTACTGTTTTGTTTAAAAATGCATTTCTGTTATTTTAAGCTTAAAGTAAATCAGATTCATTATACTTTAAAAATAAAGTTTCAGAAAAGTATATTTTATTTTTGGAAGATTTTTTTAATAAAAAGAATTACATTTCGATGAAAGACAACAAAAAAGGGTGGTATTTTGTTATTTTAGTGAAAAAAATTAAAAAAATAATCCATGCCAATTAATATAATTTCTGTTTGAAATACACCAGAGTATTTTGCTTACTGGAAATAGTAAATTTAATCCTTTAGCTTTCAATTAAAGTTAAAATGAAAGTTTTAAAGTTTTTTCATTTTTTAAAATTCATTTTAAACCTTAGGTACTACAAATTAGTGGAGATACTTCAACAATGATTACTGCATGAATATACAATTTTTAATTATATTTTGAAGAAATAACCACCTTCTTATAAGAGTGGCAATCACTATATATATATATATATATACATGCATACAATGATAAATTAAGAAAAAAAAAAAATCAATATCAGTTATAATTTATTTCATGAATATTGTTATATTCATCTCTTCAGACTGAAAGTTTTTAAGAAATGGAATCAATCTGTCCAGACAGATATACCAGGATAAAAAGGAGAAAGTGAAAAAGAAAAGAAGAAAAAAAAAGAAGAAAAGCGAAAGAAAGAAAAGGAAGAAATAAATGATGAGCCAATAGCAAAAATAAATAGATTGACCTAGAAAAATTTCCTTAAAAGGGCTTACATAAAAAAGAGAGAAGTTAATATACAAGGTAAGGGAAGATAAAGAGATAGGATTTAAAAATGTTTAATTTTTTATTTAATATTTTATATTTTACTTATTTATTACTATTATTAATAGTAGTATTATTTTATTTTTATCAAAATTTTTATATATTCTAAATTTGTTTATTATAATTATTTAAATATATTAGTTTTTATTGATTTATATATTTTTTAATTTATTTTATTTTATTTATGTTGGATATTATTATTACTATTATTAGTTTAAAATGATGATGATTGCCATGTAAACTGACAACACTTTCTTCACTGATTTTATTAGACACATTGCTGTAACACTTTCAACTTAACTATGTATTAATCATAGTGAAGTCATAGATCATGATGCTTTCGATACATCTTCACCTGAGTTACTAATAGTCATCTTTTTATTAAAACCACATTTTTCAGGTCAAAATTTTCATCACGAAGGTTCTGGTGACACAAGTGTATTGTTGAATTTTAAGTCCCTTCAGCATTCTTTTCCTTAGGATGTTTCACTGATGATTTTTTTTGGGGGGGGTTGACTTTCTTTTTGATAAGTTCCTGCTTCTGATGTAAAATTAACTATTTCACATTGATTTAGTTTTTAACCGTTTTTTTTTTATTGTTGGTAATAATTTTTATATTGAAATTAACTAAATGTCTTTCAAGTTCTTTAGTTATGGAATTTGGAGGCAATATAATATACCTTGTTCTTGGAGTATCTTTTTTTTCTTTCTTTTAAGCATTGTATATTAAGTAACTAGGGTAGTGAAGGATTTTAGAAATATTTTCTTTTTTTTTTTACTTTATCATGCTGATAAATTCATTAATTTATTTATTCATTAGTTTCTTTATGAGAACTAATATTTTTTTTTACATTGATATATTATTAAGGTGTCATTAATATAGCAAAATTATTCAGGATTTTAGGGGTAAGATATTTTGAAAATGATCCAGAATTTTAAAAGGAGACAGGTTAAAACATTGCTGAACCTATAGATAGTCTGTATTTTTATTTGTTAAATCTATTAAATTTAAAAAAAAAAATTGGCCTGTATAAATTTTGATTCCAATATTAATGGGGAATGACAACAAAATACTTTCCCCTCCCCAATTTATAGGTAGAAGCACACAAATGCATGCTGGGATTTTTTTGCAAAACAATAAAATAGGCTAGTTCTCAGTCTCATATGACCCGATCTGTCTTGTCTTGAAGTCAGAATGCTATGTTTACTTACCTGAACTTGATCTTGTGTGTCAACTCCAATTCTTAATTTGTGAACTTTTTGCCTTATTACTGCTGCTTTGCCTTATTATTGTTAATTTGCCTTCCATATATTGTTTGCATCCTTGCTTTATATTATTTTTTTGTCCTGTTCTTTATTTTAATTTTTCTTGTTATTGCTTATTGCAAACTTTGTCAATTCTATTTGTTGAACAGTTCTATCATTTATTTTACATTTTACCATGGTTACTCATTCTACAAAAAAGAAGACAAATTTTTATAACTTTTTTGATCAGTAGAGCAATGTTTATTTTTTATTTGGTATGATAGTTCTTTATAAAATTTAAACATTTTGCAGCTGGCATATTTGCATATAAGGATTTAATATTTAAGCTTTAAGCTAGACATGATTTTGTTTTTCATACTTATGTTTCTGATGAAATCATCAGAATTTGTATGGTGTGACAGGCAGATTGTTCCTGAAAGAACATGCTAAAGTTTGTGCTAACTTGAGGACGGCTCTGCCTTTAGCAAAGTTCATAGATTGTACTGGAATGTTGGGTTTGTATGTTTTTTGGTAAGACATAGTCTAGGTATCTTTGGATGATATTTTATTGTAACCATGTTTTGTCTTCATTTCTTATAAGTTTATTCATTTAATGGTTGAATCTGTCATGTGTTTAATATAACTCACATTTTGTGCTGATGTAAATTTGTTGAAATAAAATCCATTTTTCTGATGATGCCAATTCATTTCAAAACATGGAATCAATGTTTTCCTAAATTGTGTTATATTAATTTTACAGATATATGTACATTTTTTTTTTTGCTGAAAACTATATATTTTATTTTCAGTGTCCCACAGTATTGCAGAACTTTTTGGAACAAGAGCTTTTTGGAATTCCACCCACCCTTCTGCTCTTCTACATCATTTTTGCTATCTCCTTCTCTCTTTTCTTTATTGTCATTTGTACATGCTTCTCAAATGTAAGTAATCTTCTAAGTTTTTCATGTCTTGTATCTGTATATAAATACATATATATAAGTGTTTTTTGTTGTTAATTTTGACATATATAGAAGGGGAGATACTGAACAATTCTAGGACCAACTAAGAAAAACCCAGATTTTATGTTGTGTGTGTGTGTGTATATATATATATATATATATATATATAAGGGTAGGTTGATTTTTCACTTTTTTTAAAATATCAAAAAGAATAATGTACTGAAAGCTGTGTATAGACCTATTAAGTACTGATACAAAAAATTACATCTGACACTTCAACAGATTTTTGAGCATTTGGCGTCAAAAACCATAGACAAAAATGCACTGAAAAATCCTCGAATTTGCAAGATAAATATTGATGAGAAAACTAAACAAGTTCAGTATTTAAATCAGGGAATGTTGTTATTTTATTTTATCAAAATGAAATAAAATGAAGAAATTATAACTAACCTTCAAATTGAAAATCTGACACCCCCCCCCATTATTAGTGACGACTTTGAAATGCTGTTTATTTTACCTCATGAATTAAGCAGTAATAGTTGAATACATTAAAAAATTGATTTTTTCTATTATGAATGAAAATACAACAAACAAATATAGAAAAACAAATAATTGTTTAATAGGTCTTAATATATAGAGTCAAATATCTCCATATAAGAGCCCTTAGACAAAAATGATGGTCTCAATTTCTGACACAAAAATTTTGCTATTATGTGCTGGTGCCTTGCTTCAAAGCCATACACAGATTGGGAAAGCTCTTGTTAACTTGACTGCCCGTTCCATGCCTTGAGAATGTGAGGGCAAATTTGGCAGGTCAAGCTTCATACCATTTAATAATGATTCCTGAAGTTCATTTTCAGAAAATTCTTCTGTGAGTGGTGATTCACAAACTCCACAATCACAGATCTATTAACTGTGTCCAATGCATAGCTTTAAAATTGATAGTATAGTTGTCATTCTTTTTAATCTTTCCTTGACTGGCTCTTCACTCGTGAAAGAATATAAAAATTAATTTGAGTTATTTAAAAAAATGCACTCTGTACTTTAATATCTATGGTGAAATTAGATAAAATCCTTAAAATGATTCTATAAATCAGCATAACTAATTTAGTCAGTTTTATATGAATAAATATTTACTGACCTAATGGCCAAAGCTCTTTTTATAGCTTCTTCCTTCACTTCCAGTTTATCAGATTTGACCATTGAATATAAGATATTTTCAGGCAGTGAGGCAAAAGCATTGTATTGTATATTTTTCAATGTGATCTGTTGGATTTCATATGGTTGCTCCTAATCCTTTGGATCATATTGAAAATATACATTTGCTGATTGTGGAACTTGTCATCTCTTTTAATTTTGAACCAGCAAATGGCATACACATTCACAATAAAATTTATTGAACTGTGGAGTTAGATTGAAAGATTTCGTGGGTATGCGCCACGAGTCAATAAACACATAAACCTGATGGTTGAAGTTAACCACCTTGCCTGGTTTAATGGACCAATTTTCCATGATACAAATCTAGAGTCCACCTTACCTCTAGAAATACCTACTGTATATTCATAAAGGAGTCTTTGGTCACAACTAAGTGTATCTGTATTTTCAATTTTAAAAATGGAATCCAGAGGACTGCCAACAGCTGAAAATTATATTTGGGGTAAATTATGGTAATCATTTGCACGTAATTTACCCAGTGGACCATTGAATGTGGTGGGGCTTTTTGTAGTACCATCTACATGTTTAAAAAGAGCTTTAAATGAAAGTTCATTTTGGTGCCAGGAGCAACCAATAGTGTGAAGATTTCTGTTAAGTTTTCTTTCTAGAAGTGCAACAAGTTCACCTTCACAGCCTGTATTGGCACCAGTTGCACTAATATTAGGAAGAACCCTGTGTGTCAGATATTCACTTTCATATGTCATCTCTTTTGTGACAGTCAATTGGCGTTCTGGTCCCTTGTTTTTCCTCCATTATTTGCTTGTACATTAATGTGTCTTTGTCAGTTCTCCCACCAACTCCAATACAAAGATTTTCCACCTTTTCATCATGCTTTTGATGGGCATTTGTTTTCACTTTAGCCTTTGCTCTATCAATTTTACATTTATCTATATAGATATCTTTTATATTAATATTGGAGATAAGAAAGCCCATAGTGCTCAAATCCAAGAGCAAGACATTGGCAAGGCTGGCTCCAAAATTGGAAGATACATCACCCCTGATCAACTCAATAGCATACCGTGGAATTTTGATAAGGCTATAAGGCCCTTTGGGATGCTTTTTCATGCCATTTTTATTAAAATACCTGAAAAAGAAAATACATGCATTATCAGAAATTACACAAATATTTTTAAAAAATAAATTTGAAAATAAAGTTTGAAATACATTATTAAATTAAAAGTAATGTTTACTTACCTAAAAGTAGATTTAGTTCCAAGATTAGCTCGTAAACAGACTTTTTAAATAAAACACACTAACTTTGAAAATATAAACAAATTACAATAATTATAAAAGTTGTATTTTTTAAATAGTTAAAAATATTTTGATGAAAAATACAATATAGCTAAAAGTGTAAACAGTAAACAAAAATAAAACAAACTTACAAGAGGAGGTAGTAATTACTACTGATAAATACAGAAGAAATATCCAGTAAATAAGACAGCGTTCATAAGTAGCTAATTGTATTTTAAACTAAATATTTTAGTGTGTTTTATTTTTTTATTTTTGGTAATTTTATTTAATTTATTAAGAGAATAGATAGTAAACTTAAAAATATCCATTATTAACCGTATTTTCTTTTCTTTTTGTTAAGACTTTGTTTTTAACCTACACATTTCTGATGACACCGATATAATGATAAAAATTACAATTTATTTTGTCTTTAAGTGGTAATTTTTTATGTTATTTTGCAACTTCCCTCGAGTTATTTTTTTTTTTTACAGTTCCAAAATCAACCTACTCTAATATATATATATAAAAACAATATGAATGTAGACAAAAGGAAAATATAACAAAATTGTTACTTATATGTATAAATACTTGTCGCAAAAGTTCATCAATGGACAGAATGCATTGGCTAAGTTTTCCTTTTGTCCTTATGTGTATAGGGCATCTCAAGGCAGTGTAATTGTTAGCAAGCTTGAACAATTACAGCTGAGTAGTGAGTTAAATCCACACTGAGTGCCCCATACTTACAGTCTTATGCCACATCTAAACTACACTTGAAAAATCACTATATATTTTATATATATATATATATATATATATATATATATATATAGACGTGTTTCATTGAATAATCTAGACACTTATTTTCAATTGGATCCTTTCATATTTTGTTATCATTATTAAAGGAAGAGTGAAAATCACAGTGTTGATGTATCGTATTTTATTCCGAGTACTTTTGACATAGCACAATGTCATCATCAGGGTGCAGTTTATTTCAATACAAATATTGTAGTGTTCATCATTTTCAAAGATAAAATTGCTGTATTCATCTGAGAATTTTTTACTTGTGAAGTGAAGAATGCTGAGTGAGTATGTGATCACTTGACTACTGCTTCAGGGGAGGTAACTAAATATGGTTTGTGGAGAGTTTTTAAGAAATAAGTAGTGAAAACTAAACTATCTATATTTTTTTTAAACATCTGTGCAGTATTCATAATTTTATTAAGACTTGGTTTCAATTTTTTTTAATAGAGATAGCTTTGAAAATTTTTAGTTTATGTTTATTATTTTCATGAAAAAGTATAGATGTATTTTCAACAATAAATTTTCTGAATTGTTGTGGACAGGTATGCTGTTGTAAGTGATTAGAAATGTTGGATATATCATTCAAATGAAAACTTAGCTGCTGAGATAACATGGTCATAGTTTGTCCAACATACATATTCTTTCCATTGGAGATACAATCTCCCAGAGGACATTTAAATTTATAAACAATGTTAGTATTCTGCAATGCATTAGTAGGTATGGAAGAGTCATTACAAATTATTAAATTAGATATACTAAATCTAGTGTAGTATATATTTAATTTTATATTTTTACTAGGATCTGTGGTGGATATATTAGTATTTATTAATTTTTTAGGATATTTTTGTGTTGTTTCTAATTAGAATGTGTTTGGTTGAAATATAAAAGATTAATATGTTTGGGGTTAGTTCAAGATGTATTATAACCTATTTGCTTAATATATACAACAGGATGGTATTCTGGGTTTGACTTTTAGCAATTTCTGTATGCCTATTCTTGAAAATAATATATTTAACAATTTTAAAAACCCCTCCATCTAC